GGGGGGATGATGTAATGGGAAAATTAGGAAAAGATACCTAACCATCGGACAAGTGTGAGACAACTTATTAACGGGAGTAGTGGGAAAATTGCCCTTCAACTTAGAAAATGAGGGCTGATGCATTCAAGATGGGAGTATTTGATGCAGTTGCTTGTGACAGTGCTGTTGCTAGTCCAGACGTAAGTGAATCCAGAAGGTCCATTTTTGCTCTAAATTATCATGTTCTCTTACTAAACCTACTCATTCTCAGAGGTCAACTGTGTTAACTGAAAAGAGTGGGATAGTTCCTGTTCTGGATACTTGCAAAGACTCATAGATTATTCTATGGCCAGTTACATCCTCAAAACATTACTAAAATCTGAATACAAATTTGTTCTGTAACTAAATGTTGCAGGCTATCCATTGAAACCAGTTTAAGAAGATCTCTTGCTTCCCGTATCATGTGAAACGGGACATTATATGCATTGCTTTCAAAAGAGAAAAATAACTTACATTAAAAATACATTCACTTGCCTTTTTGTGCAAGTTCTAGAGTTTATGAATCCCTCTGATGGCCTTATAAATACATTCATATCATGCTCTGATATTCAAAACAAGACTATCTGTCCCTTTTCCCATTAGAAATAAACTCTTCTTTAAATTGCAGTTAAATACACCTCTTATTCATGGCAAGAAGAAAAATTTTTTAAATCTAGTTTGACATCTTAGTTATTGTTTTTAACTTAAGCCATGAAACAATCTACAGGTGCTACAAAAATTCGAATAGAAAGAACTCTTTGTTTCTAATATGAGTTACAAAGCAATGTAAGGAATAACCCCAAAGCTTTATCTAAATAAATTTCAGCTTTTCACAGTGAACTATAACACCATATATTTTCATTTGTGGTTTCTGGATAGCGGAAGATATTGAATTAGGCATCAAACCTTCACATCGCTCTTTCAGAATTTGGTGGGTATGGCCAGGAATAATCACAACGTTCCCTTTGGCACAGTCTTAAAAAGATTCTGAAAGCATCAGGGGAAATTTATCTAAGAAAATACGAAACAGACTCAGAATGCTCAAACCGTGTAGGCTTAGTCATAAAGAAAGACTGCAGCTTGTGCAGACACTTAAATTAGCTTTAATTTAGATAAGTAAGGGATCGATAGCAATAAAGCCAATATCAGGATGGATTTCAAAACAGGCAAGTTAATCCTGCTGAAGAACCTAGCATCTCAATGGGGCCCAAGCAGGCTGCAGTTTCTGTGAGACTTGCAACTTCCCTGCTGTTTTCTGAACAAGCTATATTACAACATCAAGCTGTACCTCCACATGCCGCATGTACACTTCCAGCTTTGGTACAGATGTACCTTGGTATAGGAAACAGTGAAAATCAACGCCATCGCTCAGCAAATCCTGGAAATTGCGTTCAATCAGCAGCACAGAGAAATCTGGCACAGATTCAGTGATCATCTGGCCCTCTCAAGCACTTGATATTCTGGACAGACACGATGCTTGGACTGCTTAAGAGCTAGTATTACTAAAAAATATTAAGATAACAGGTACTTTAAATCTAGTCATATAGAGCAGAGCTCAGACTCTGTCACTGATATTGCCACCTTCCGTGATGCTGCTTGACCAGGCAATTCTGCTGCCCCAGCTCAATCCCCAGCAGGAAGAACCTGCCATGCAGTTTGGTGGCCATCGCCAATTCTGCTCCCCACCAGGACCTCAGGATGCCTGTGACAACTTCTGTACCCCAGGAGGTTGTTACGCCGTTATAGCTAAAGTGTGAGTTTAAACAAAGCCACGCACCCTGCACGGACACACCTTGGAGTGCTCCTGGCCCACCTCCCCAGTGACCAGCCAACAGCAGGTACCTCTCCACCTACTGGGCAGTTTGGGCTGGCTCAGGAGTGACCCAGGCATGCTGCCCCCATGCAGCTGAGACAGGATGGCACACCTGCTCATGTGGTGTAAGGCAAGAGAGACCTCCGGAGGTACCTCGCTCCAGCTGTGCTCAGGTCAGGGGAAGCAGCCCAGCGCCGGTCATTGAGACACTGGGCTCTCTTGGACTCTCTGTTGTTGGCTGGGATCAATGCACCCCTGCTGCTCCCCGGCAGGATGGCAGTCAATGCACCCATGGTCCCACTGACAAGAGTGACCGTCACACCACATTTAGGATATTCTACCTGCAGCGGTTTCCAGAATAGCTGTACTAGCAAAAGCACGCTTTTTACCGCAAGCGTCTATGCGCTAGCGCTTACCCTGTGTAAGAATGTATTTAAAAGGAAAAACCTGACGTTATTAAACCAGCGGAAGGAGAAGACTGAAGCAGCTTTGAGGTGCTTCAAAATGCCTTCCATGGTAAGATGAATTGATACCGTATTATCAGACACTTTGTTCTCTCTTTTTGGCTGCCAACCTAATGGCTGAGCTATTACAGTATCACTGTTCTTATGTTATAGCCTCAAATGCACTCAAACCCGATTTAAAATCCACCTTTTGCTCTGAAGCTGAAACCACGTCAACGGTGAAAATGAGGCTGACTGCATCCAAATGTGCACTTACAAAATTAAAGGCAGGATTTTCTTATCAGAGGATACTTGGTCATCAAATTTACTACCACCAGAGATCACACCCTCCCTCAAATCACCATATATGACTTTTCTCTCTAATGAGAAAAAAAAAAAAAGCTGCAATGAGCCAGGGCTGTATTTTTTTAAAGCCACCACTTTTTTTTTGGTGTGGGAAGTAAAAGGAGACTTGTGTCTTTTCCCTAGGCGCAGCACGTTTCCAGATGTATGAAATAAGCAGATATTGCTTAGCAGCTCGAAGCCTTGTCTACAGAGGCACCGTACGTACATACAGTTAATAAGAGATAAAAGTCCTGGCCCTAGAAAGCTTCCAGTCAAAACAGATGAAAGGATGGGGAAAAAAGAAGTAATATTATCCTCTTTTTTATATATATTTGAAAGCAAAGAACAAGAAAATAGGTCATTTGCCCAAGACTGCAAGGAAAGCCTGTAAATATGGATTTAAACTTAATACTTCCCGAGTCTCAATCCAGTGTCACAAACCCATTATTTCTGATTTTTGAAAACTTTCTCTCGTGCCCAATTTGAATAATTGGCTGTTTCACAGAAGCTGGCAAATATATGCCTCTAGTAACAAAAAGTCACTGTGTAATAAAAATTCCTATTTTAATTTATGATTAGCTACCATAATATATTGATCCTTGTGTTGACCACAATCAAAATACTCTAATGGCTGAAATATGAGGCCAAAACAAGAGAGGAACTCCATCCTGGATATAAGGAAAAAGGACAGAAGGAACATATTTAGGGAAAACTGAGGAAAAAAAGAATTCAACTTCTATGTGTGAGCTACTTGTAGATGCATTTTTGGTTGCGTATTTTATACTTTTCTCCTCCTGTGTTAGAGTGAACCGATTGTCTTTCAGCTCGAAAAATAATAGCTGTACTTCAAGACTCTCCCCTTTCCACAGTATCTGTATTCCTCTAGCATTTATATTTGACAAAGTCTTTTTAAAAGAGAAACAAGTTCTTTAAAAAAACCCACACTGTGGCAGCAAAGATGTAAATCCCTCACATTGTCCCTAGAGCCTGGCTCTTTAGGATTATTATAGATTCAATTATTATTGTAAGGAAGATTTAAATATCTTATTTACCTGAACAGCATCATAATACATTTTCTTGCCTTCTTCATCTGACTTGTCCGACATCAGCCATGCCTTGAGCAAATATTCATAAAAGCTATCTCCAAGCCCTCCAATGGAGACGTGATCTAAAAAGCGAAGAAAGAGATTCAACAGTAATTTCATCTTCAGCCTGGGCAATAAATACAATTACAGTTTGAAACAGTGCATTTAATGCATTTAAACATCTCTGGCTACAACAATCTTTAATAAATGTAAGCCTGGAACCTCAGGAAAAACTTAACTGGTATATACAGGTAATTATTTCTTGTTTCTAACTTTTTCATCAGGCTAAAGCACAATAGTTATTTAATATCCACAATGTGCCACAGGAGTTCATGGCAAAGAAACAAGAATTCATATGTTTAACATTTAATTCACGTAGTCTATCCCATACAAAAATGTGTTGACCTAAGTTCTTTTTTATTTTAAAACCAGGAAAAAAACATAGAAACTGCTCTCTAATTTGATAAAGGCTTTCCCCTCTTGACATGCAGGCATTGTTTTTATTTGCTTTTTTACTCACTAATGCTCCATTTAAGTCGCTTCATAAAAAAGGCCAAAATGTTTTAGCTTCGTACTGCAGAGTTGAATTTCAGGTTATTTTACGGTATTTCAAAATGCCAACCCCTATGTTTAAAAATAAGATTACATTTTTTTAACATCTGTCTGCTCTCAGAACTCAGCAGTGGTTCTAGAAGGAAAAAAAAAAGACTTTGCCACATCTACAGATGATTACTGCTATCACGCTGCTTTATTCTGCCCTACGTTTAGTTTACTCTGTTAAATGATCTGGTATTACAGATGCTGTGATTATTCAACTGCACACGTTTAGGATGTGACCCTGCGAACACTGACACCAACCGGGTCAGACCGTTCAATGTCAGCTGCACCAGTGACGTGGAAGTCAGTGACGCTCTCAGCTGCTGGCACAAGGTTGCACTCACTTGCTGTCCATCAGCCTAAAAGATTCTTGGCAAAATTTTCATGGGCTATCATATGATTTCAGCATAGACCCCCTAAACACATGAAATACTACAACTATATCTATACACACACACATATATAAAAAGTATTTCTCTAAGCTCCATTAAACTACGAACACTAGCTAGAGGTTTTCTTTTTTAAGTTGGTGAGCCTGGTAACATCAAGAGATTTCACACATATGGAGTCTTCAGTGAAAGGATTTCAAAGTGCTTTACCAGGACTACTCATTTATAATCGTCAATTTTACAGCAAGGAAGGGGTACGCCAATTCCACCTTAGACATCCAGGATGGAGATGTGGTTACATGCATCACGCAGCAAGTCCGTGAGTCATACCACAAAATTCTGGGCATAAGAAAAGCAAAACACGCATGGCGCAATCCAGGCTCATAAAGCGAGATGCGGAAGGGTTAGTGGTACAGAGCTCACACCTCCCAACACCTAACTCTGATCTTAGCTTCAAAGTTATGCCTCTGTTGGTGGAATTCAAAAGAACGCAGATAATTTATTTTTAAACTCCTTAGTATCTTCTCTTTATGGAATGCCTCCTTTCACCTTCTGAATAGCTTGCAAAGCCATGCAAATGGAGAAGATACACTTTTTTCTATTGGAACTTTATTAACAGAGCCTTTTTCCTCCACTAGCCTGTGACATACAAAAACGATTTAGTTTTCCAGACGTATCCTATCCCTTTGCCTAACAAATACGTTGTACCATCAAACCTGGGTTATAAATGGCTACTCCTCCCCTGCCTTGAATGAGATATATTAAATTTCTGGAAAGAATACACCATTTATTTAATTAAATGTTGATGATCCAAAAGGAAAAGAGGCTTCTTAAAAAAAAAAAAAAAAAAAAAAAAATTT